TGCAGAGGAAGCTGTGCAGGTTACTAATGGCTTATCGGAGGTTTCCATGGATGAAAATACATAGTTTTCTGCTCTCACTTTTGTTTCATTGAGGAAACGTACACCTGATGCCCGGAGAAGGAGAGATGAGTTAAATTCTGTTGTTCTAGAGGCTGGGAGGATAGGCGAGTCTTACTTCCATCTTGACTCTCAGTCTCTGCAACAGGCGTCTTTCGAAATGTCTCGTCATTCATATGGCCGATATCTCTAGAAACTCTTCTCATACTTGAATCACATTGACGACGCCATGCATTTTGACTGTTTACCGAGTCCAAGCCATGTAGGAACGTCTGCACAAACTTTACAGGGCTAAGGTAGTGTTCTAATAGATTGAACTATGGCTCAACGTACGACATTTCTATGGGCTAGGCCAAAGCCTAATCCGTATTGCTGTAGTAATTAGGTAGAATCATATTGTGTTAAAGAATTGTCCCCATTTCGTTACTAGACAAAGCCCCACACATCCCAAGTCTCTAGTTGGGGAGCTTAGGCATACCTGATTGATCACGACATGCCGATAAGCGATGGCGTAGTTGAACACCGTTGTTCCCGCTCAGTATTTCCGAGCAAATTCTTTGCAAAGACCAATTGCAGAGGGCTTTATGCACTGTTTCAGTGCTATACATGCGCATCTTTGATCTCTTATGGTCGGAGAAGTTGTGGATGTGCAGACTCTAATCTCAAGTAATCTTGAGGTTCTTGTTTTCTTCCCTGATAATACGGCAAAGGAAAGGTAAAAGCAGCAATGTCTTTTCAGCAGGAAAACTTCAAGTTGTATCATTATTGGACGCCTTCACAGCCCTGATAGCTGGCTTAATGGGAATGCGGTTATCCGAAATCGGAAAACTGTTTGTGCTGTTGGGGATTGCCCACCGTTATCGGCTCCGCGTCAACGTCTTGACGCCGGGAAGCTCTCATCACGCCATGCGGGACCAGCCTCCACTCAGATCTAAGAATCGAAGATTCCTACAAGACCATCGAGGCTCGAGAGCAGCGCTTTGATAACTCGCTTTCGCAGAGGAGTATGCGACGTGCCAGAGTCATCATCATTCCTCTGGTTTCCAACTTTCATCCTTCTCAGAGACCCCGACATTGACTCGAGTCGACCACCTACCATGGCCACAATTGCAGTAGACCAAACCCCCAAAACCACTGTTAGGGGCACTGAACAAGGATCTCAAGTTCACAACGCGTCGCCTTCGCTGCCTTTTGAGGCTTTTGATGTTCCGAGTCAGCAGGACACCGCCGACTTTGGGCTGCCGTGGTCGGCAAGCTTTCCTCTCGGACTTAAAGCAAGCAAGACCCTCAATCTCTCCGAAAGCATTCATGCGATCAAAAATTTCGCCCATTCTGGGAATCTGAGCAGTCTGATCAAACAACATGGGGGAGCGATTCTTATTCGTGGCCTCCCGATAGGAACACCTCATGACTATAGCAAGGTCGCGCACGCATTTGGCTTTCGTCCTCATGTAGAGGTTGGACGTCCGCCACTGCGGACCATTCTGGCTCCTAATGTCAAGACAGCAAACGAGGGGTAAGTAGTAAAAATGCAAACGACTCCCAGCGTCGATCTCTACTCAATACCCGAGAGCAAAGCGATGTCTTGTCATTCGAATTCCATGAAGTAAGGTGGACTGACGTGAAGTAGTCCACCAGAACTGCCAATTTGGCCCCATAGCGAATATGGTTGGTCCACAATCAACCCATCGTGGCTGACTTTCAGTGCACTCCAAATTCCAGAATCCGGTATGCTCTGAAGCATAGCATAGCTAGTTACGAGCCTCGGCACTAACCACAAAGCAGGCGGCGCCACACCCATCACCTCAGCTATCTACATTGCTCATAAGTTGTCACGTCTCAAGCCTCAGTTCCTCTCGAACCTTCTGAACAAGGGTGTAAAATACGTCTATCGCTACACAACCAAGCCACTCGTCTCCAACACCGGGACGAGCGTTCGTGGCGCTTACGGTCAGGAGGTCAGAGACGAAGATGACGAAGCCGCGGCCCGACGCAAGATAGAGGCTGAAGTTCGACGCCACAGCAACCGATTCGAGTGGCACGACGACGGTAGCTTGAGCGTGACGCATATTGTCCCCGGTAAGTTATGAAGGAATCCTTCTGCCAGTTCTAGACCAAATGCCTCACTGGGCCACAGACTGACACAATGGCGAAGCCGTTCGCATCCATGATCCTACAGGGGCAACTGTATTCTTCGGCAATGTCACCTCCGCCTGGGGCCGTAGTCGCCATCATGGTGCGACAAGACCTCCCTTCCGCGGCGATGACGGGTCGTATCATCCTCCTCCGACATATGGCGACGATACGCCCATCGATGTTGAGGACTTGGACCTGCTGCTGAAACTCGCGGAAGAGGGTGCCGTAGATGTCGAGTGGCAGAAGGGAGATCTGGTGCTTCTTGATGTGAGTATTTGCCTGTGGGATTTGTGACGCTAGCACGATGTGGCTGACACGAGAGGCGCTCCCCACAGAACTACGCCGTGATGCACTCCCGCAAGCCGTGGAAGGGGCAGCGCCAGGTCCTCGCTGCTCTGTGGGACGATGACGGAAGGACCAGGGATTTTCCAGAAGGCTTAGAACTGCTGAAAGGTAGTCCTAGGGTCCCTCGGACGGAGTTCGATGAGAATGAAGGACGTTGATAATCGGCTTTCGAGGCCCTGATTGGTTGAAGAGTCTAGTTTCACGAATATCGTCCCCGTGCGTGGATGATCGTGGCCACGGCGTGACTAGTCAACAATTGGCCAAGCGTACTACCCCGTTCACTTGATATGAAGAGGCAGATCTGCTTCCGCTTGGACGGCATGAAAAGCTCTGCCCAACTTCATTCTTAGAAGGAATTGCAACTTGGACAAATCTTCAGTGGAATGTATTACTACTTTCTATTGAAAACCTAGCTCAGACATTGCTCTAACAGACTAAAATTCAAGACGCCTCTTCCTCGATTTTAGGACGGGCAAGTAGCCCTCTTGGCCCTCTTTGCGCTAGTCTCTTCGACCTCCGCCAATCCAAACCAGCCACAAGCGGAATCGAAGAGGGCGTCGAAGCCGTTATAGAACATCCTGCCAGTGTTGATGAAAGGCACGTTGGGTGCCACGGGTGGATCCTCCAGAACGAATCCCAAGGGCTGCATTGTCGCTGGATTGGGCTTACCCGCACCCTGGGCAGTGACGTTGTAAGTCGCAATGGGGTTCTTTTCGTTGGGAATGTGAACCACCACAACGGTTCCCTTGGCAGCAACCTGAGGGTGTGTCTTGATAGCCTTGGATGTGACATTCTTGAAGTGCGATCTGACGTCTTTGTTAACCCGAAGGAACGCCTGGGGAATACCAGTGTCGAAAAGAGCTGGGCCATGGTCGTAGGGCGAGTCGTTAACTTTGATTGCCATGTTCACCATGTTCCAGTCGATGGTGGAGTTGGATCCGGATCGGACGTCGAGCTGCGTCTTGCAGAATCCTTCGGTGTTCTCGCTCGTGAGACCAACCTCGACGCCATCTTTGCCCAGAACGTAGCCCTGGTGAATCGTACTCTTCACAGGTCGACCGCCGATAGACGCGATGTTGATCAGAGACACCTTGTCAGGCAGGGCATCGGGCTGCTCGCTGCTCCATCTACCGAAGCCGACACCCATGTAGTGGATATTATTGGGGTACATTGTGATGTTGGACTTCTGCGCTTCCGTGCAGGAGCCCTGGGTCTTCCATGCGCGGCAGATACTGGCTTCGGTGACGATCAGGATAGGAACGGAGGCAACGACATCTTCGCCAATCGTGCGTTCATCCACCATTGCGGGGAAAGTGAGGTTTGCATCGACCCAGTAGCCTTGCCACAGTCTACCGCTGGAAGATAGATATTCGTTTCCGGGCTTGGATTTGTCGAACTGTGTTTTCGCGTCGAAACCGAGAACGCCGGCACCGATCATGACGCCGGTGGAACCGGTGTCCATGCCGGCAGACTTGATGGTCACCGCCTTCATTTTAAGCGTCTCCAAGTCTTTGGTCATGACCGTAAATGTAAGTGAGGGCGTGGTGTTGATGTCAGGAAACTTGTTGATGAAGGGGATAAAGGCGGTATTATTCTCCGTGGCCCTGGGGTATACTGGGGGTCCTGACGCGGGGCATGTTGCCGCCGCGGCCAACTCCAACAGAGCCGAGATGGCTAGAGAGGTAGAGAAGTGCATTTTGTATGATGAAGATGATAGGGATGATGAGCTTGATGGAGAGATGGATAGATGCTGATGCTATGTGGTCCTGGCCGGTATTTAACGAGATTCGATCTGCAAACCTTCAAGTGCAGTAATCTGTCGCGGAAACCTTGAAATACGTCGCATCTAGAATACGCCCATCAGCTATGCCGTAGCTGAGGCTCAGCTGAATGTCTAAGAGACTCGTGGCGCCGAGACGAACGAAAACGTGGCATCCGGTTCCATGGGAAATAGCCAGATCTGGATGGAATTCTAGTGGGAAATGCGGCGAGAAGCGTGGTCGGGCCATAAGCCATGTGTGGAATGCCGGAACCGGCGATAGTCGGCGTGGTGTTGGTCTGGGCCTCCACACCTCCGCAAACTATAATGAGACATGGCCTTTGGATCCCCAACCTAAAGCGATGCTAATGTCCATCGGACAAGAAAAGAAAAAGAGCTCCTCCGCGGCCGCCCTTGACCTTTGGGATGAAAGCAGCAGCAATCGTATATTACCCTCTCAAGAAGAACAAGACGTCCCTAGGGCCCTAGGAAATCTTTCGATGCCCACACTCTAGAGCGAGTCTAGCTTCTTTGATTTGCATACCGGAATTAGACTTTATTTCAATCGAAAATTCCATGCTCCATCAAGGTCCATTGCCTTCGGCGGAATTCGACGCTATTGAAAGTCAATGGCAACCCCGGCGACTTTCTTCCGGCATAACATTAAATGACAACATCAACCCGTTAGAATACTACAGTCTAGTCACTCAAACCTCTTCAGCCATGCGTCTGCCTTTGTCCATTCCTCAACAAGATGCTTCTGCCGATCCTCACCACGCACTTTGAAGCTGACATCAAAAGCCTTCGGCCCAGTCAGGATCGCATCTTTGAAAGCAGTCTGCATCGAAGTATCCGGCATCGTATCCCCCGCAACGATATCAAAGCACCAAAGTAGCTTGGACATGGTCATCAGCATGCTGTTCTCAGCCATGCGCTGACCGGCGCAGATCCTTCTTCCGGCCCCGAAGCTGTAAGTAGGCCGACGCGATTGATCTTCGGTCGCCGCCTTGGACTCCTGATTGCAAGTTTTGACACCCAGTGGATTCTTCATGAACCGCTCGGGTTCGAAAGTGTCTGGGTCCTCGTACTCATCTGAATCATGGTTGATAGCCCATATGTTCATGAGAATTGTAGTTTCAGCGGGGATGTTGTAGCCCTTGTAAACATCGTCGCGAGTTGTTGCGTGAGGGATAGCCATGGGAAACCCTGGCCGCCACCTGAGAGTCTTCGGAGCGAGTTAGACCATGGACAGACGTTCATGTTTAACGAAAAGAAATCGAAAGAGAAACTGACCTCAAGGAAACAAGCCTTGATATAAGGCAAAATTTCTGCAGTCAGACGTTCAGCACGTATGCCACTCTCGCCAAATACCGCATCCACTTCTGCTTGAGCTCTTTTCTGGATATCAGGATACGCAGCCATTGCCAAAATAAATGTTTCAAAAGCACCGGCGGTCGTGTCCGAGCCTCCCTCCATCAAAAAGCCGGCGATGTACTCGAGATCGAGGTCGCTGTAGCCTTCTTTTTCGTTATCACGCAAAAGCCCTGCTACGAAGCTGTCTTCGGCCTTCCCCTGGCTGATGCGTGCTTTGGCTTCCCCGAATAAGTCGTGATACAATCCGTTCTGTTTCAATTTGAGGTCTGCAGCTCTAAGTTTCCAACCTCGCCAAGGCGTCAGGAAATCCGGGACATATTTCAGAAATGGCAGCACATCGAAAGGGGGAACGGCCCCCTGATCCAGCATTCCTGCCCACTCCGCTTGGCATTCGAAGAACTTCTTAATCTTACCCTCATCGCTGAAATCCTTTCCGCGGGTGCCAAAGACGCTTGACATGATGATGGCGCCAAAGTACCGCAAAATATGGTCGTGGTAATGAGCAGGATCACACAGCAGCTCATGCATCATTTGTGATGATTCAGCGTCTTGCAACAGCAAGAGCTTATCAACTTTGTCGTCTTTCAAGAAGTCCGTAATTGTCTTCCTCTCCTTCCTCCACTTGGGACCATACCGCAAAAAGACGAGATGGATGTCACCGGGCGGGGGTAGCACGTACTCCACGATAGGCACGTACGGCCGGGACGAGTAGAGGGCCCCGCGTTGATCGAGGAGATCGCGCACGGATTGCCAGGTGTTGAGGACGACGGCTTTGTTGCTGGGTCCGAGTGACAGGCCGACGAGGCCGTGCGATCCGTACGTGCGGCTCCATGCTGCGAACTGAATGAATGGTTTCGTCAACGGTATTTGATGGAGGTTACCGAGGAATGGTATGGTAGGAGGTCCTGGAGGAAAGTTGATGTTGGACTTGGAGGCCTGGAGGCGAGGACGTACGAGGAAGAACGCGACAAGTGCGCCTACAACGCTCAGTGCAAGTATCGAGATCGCCATTTTGAAATTCAGGGATAACACAGAGTAAGCCTGCTTCTCCGCCATCTAGAAATCACACACTGTTATATAGCCAATTGTTCTTGACCTGACCGCCGCAATCATTATGTCCTCTCACAAATGAGAGCAATCTCATTGGCTCGTAGATGTGAGGATGAGTAACGGCACGCATATGCGTGCGACGCTCTGCTTACGCTGCCCGGCATGGGTTCATCATTTTATTGCTGGAAAATCAAGTCTCAAGCAGTATTGGAGACAGATTGGACATGATCTACCGTATAAAATATAGTGCTAAGTACGAGGTAGGAAAGTCAGATTGTTGCCAGTTCGACCTTACAGCGAGAAGCTCCCGCATTTCATTCGTTACTGATGTCGAAGACATTCTTCAACGAAAGGACTGCTTTTTTACAGAGCCCTTCGTATCTTATCGTTCATATGGACATGTTTAATCAGATATCGTCTAGCTCTGATCAATCGGCAAGACTTGTAGTTGCCACCAGCGATCTTAATTGCATTGGAAGCGGGTTTGAGAGTTGGTGTCTATGCAAACCATCGCATTAGATGCACTGGCGATAGCCACAGTTCAGACACGACTAGATACGCGTCAATCCACATATCAAGATCAGCAGACATACCATGAAACGAACATACCAAGGCACGGGAACAAATGCCAGAGCTGTTGGCACCGGCATCGGCATCGACATTCGGCTTTCCCAAATCCACCTCACCAAAGACAGAAAGCCACGAGTAAGGTCGGATTGCTCAGGAAGCAGTCTCGAGTGGACCGCGGCGGGGTTTATCGCGTAAATACTCCGTACGGTCAAACTGATTCCATCTCGCGACTCCATGTATTCGCAAAACAGTCCCTTCTGAGACTAAGACGATGGCTGCCCCATAGAAAGAGACCGCAGACAGGCGCCACTCGATCGACACATGAAGGGTTCTCCGGACAGAATATGCTCCGCTTCGCAACCCACCGCACGCCACGCCTAACGCCCTTGACAGTCTGTCAGGTGTACTGTCAGGTCAGAGTAAATGTTGTGTCACCGCGATAACTAACAGGGGTCGCAACCGAACCCTCGGACTTCTCGAGAGAAGCTAAGACCCTGGAGTGGTCAGCACCGAGAGCGAGAAGACGGGATGATGTGCGGACACGGATGGGATGAACACTCCCATGCCCGCGTCGCATCATCCGTGCGTCCAGGGGAGGGGAGTCAGGAAGACGTATGCATGCACATGTGAAATGCAAGATAACGGATGTTTTTTGCTCCCTGCAGCGGGATCTTGTATGCTTAAGGTTTAGCTGAGACAGAAACAACCATAAGCATATCAAATCTCTTTCAAGTTTCTTCAACGTCGGGACGCACCACCACACGGTGGTCAAGACGCGTCGATCGTGTCTCTGGATTCCAAGACATCATTTAACGATACCCCTTTCAACTCTTTTTCCGACTCAAGACGTCTGAAGGAGGTGGAAATTCCACCAGACTTATCAAATGAAGACCTTTTGTCGAACCCGTAAGGGAATAGGCACCAAAGCCGCATGGACAGTTGGCGTCAATTAGCGCCTCTGGTCCTCAGCAAACAACAGACGCCACTCTTCCGATGTAACCGCTAGCTGTATCATAAGAGGCCGCCGCGTCTCGCAGCCGATTGCGCTAGCTTTCGAGGCCGCCTACCCGCCAGCCGCAGAAAAGAAACTGGCGGGAGCGTTCCTGGGTGATGGGGTAAGAGTCCGTAGCTTTGACCTTGGGAATTCTTGGAGCTGTGCCCTTTTCAGTCTAGAGGAGGCGAGTGAACGACAAGGCTCGGACCTCCTCATCACAACTAGTGCAATCCTCATATCCGCATTGACCTCGAACCTCTCTCTTCCCCTACGGCCTACGGGTCGAGGGGTGGCTGTCTCTTATACCCTCACTCGCGCAATCGCCTGCGGGCTGAGAGGCTTCTGAACCTACTTGTTGTGTTTTACCTCTCTCTCACTCCAGTCATTCGTTCGTGATCGGGGCCTACCTTCGTTTGAGGTGCTTCTTTTTCAATTCTGGCTTTTCTTACACAGCTGCATGACAGGAGCATTTGAGACTTCAAGCGGGCGTTTGCGGACTGTCGCTTGAAGAAGCAATTGCATATCAACATACGACCTTATAACACACTAGCAAACACCTACACAACAGAACAGCAGGACCTGAATAATAATGCACCATGGTTGATCAAGGAATCCACGGGAGGTGGCACAGCATCGCGGGGAAACTTTTCAACCGGGGCCTAATTGGAGATATCCTCGGCACACCCGGCGCCATCGTCAGCCAAGTATTGTCGTCGCCGGCGACGACAACTCAGGGGAATGTTCAGGCAGAGGGTACACCAGCGGCAGCAGCAACGACACAAGCTGCCGCTGCGCCGGCTGCAACAACAGCTGCCGCCGCTCCTGTAGCTGCGACAACACCGGCTGCACAACAACCAGCTGCATCGCCGGCAGCAACGACGAAGCAGGATCAGCAGCAAGCTGCTACGACACCAGTCGCTCAGGCACCAGCAGCGGCAGCGACGACATCACAGCAGGTAGCTCAGGCATCGTCAACAACAGTTGCAGCAGCGAATCCTCCAGCAGCTTCAAGTTCATCTTCAAGCGCTGCAGCTGCTGCTTCGTCAACGCCTGCTGCAGCTGCTACGACTGTCCCAGTAGCCGCTGAGAATGCAGCTTCATCACCAGTGTTATCCCAAACGGTTACACCAGAGGCAACAGGAACAAGCGTGATCGGGGTTGGAGCGGGGGGCGCATCAAGTACAAGATCTGGCATGACCAATGCTACACAAACGCCTTCGCCGAATTACGAGAATACATCATCATCAAGCAGCCAAGGGCCTTTGGTCGCCACTGGAGCTGTGCGTAAGTGCATCCCTGCCGCTTCGCTCATATGTGTAGCCTTTTTTTGATACTGACTGATATGCAGTGGGCATCGTGGTACTCATGGGACTGTCCCTTTTGATATTCTGGTGCTATCGTCGGAGAAGGAAAGCAGCCCGCCATCTTCATGAAGCCGTCGCCCTCGAGAGTCCTAGCAACGAGTACGGTCCGGCCTCGCCTTTCCGCGATAATGTCAACCCCAGTTTCACTGAAATGACTGATAACCGTACGGTCTCTAACGAAGACGAATTTACCATTCAACACCCCGAACCCGGCTATCAACCTCCTTCCCAACCGCCGATGTCGCCTCAAATGCAGGACACACCGAGAACAAACCCATATGCAGCATCTCCCTTCTCATACGCGCAAGCGCAACAATATGTTCAATCTCTAGCAGGCACAGGGACATTCGGCTTCCCTCCGCCGCCTCCAATCCCAGAGCCATCGCCTATCCGCATCTTCAGATGGCCAACTCGTTCGTCCCGCAGCGGCAACTCTACCCCTAGTGTCTTCTCCGGATTCCGCACACCCAAGACGCCCACTCGCACTCTCTCTCGGGCTTCTCGAAGTACCGTGTCATCGATGCTATGGCACGGCCGCAAGGACGTTGCCCGGAGGACCATCATACGTGCCCCCGGATCTCAAAAGTCATCAAAGTCAGCAAAGTCGCGTACCAACATTTCTTCTCACAGCCCCGAGAGCACGATGCCGGAGGGTCTACATACTCCCATCTTGGATTGGCTTCACTGGATCCGAGGCCACCAACAGGTCGAGCCCGATCCAGAGATGAACCATCGAAAGAGCTTCGCCAGCACTACGGAGAGCTCAATTTCCGAAACAAGCGTTGCGAGCACAGCTAGTAGCGGTGTCTTCTCGCCCACACTCCTTTCTTACCATCCACCAGCCAATACGCCGAGTGTCACAACCGAGACCATTCAATATTTACCTCTGCCTTTATTTAAGAAAAGAGCCAGTGATAATAACAGCGAGGTCACGGTGGAAGCGTCCGGTACGGTCCGCATCCCGAGTTTTGGATGACGGTACCATACAATACAAAATTTAATGATATCCCATTTTTGGGCAACAGTCGTTCATTGCATGGCTCGGGTGTTCTGGTTTAGCGATATCTCTATTTTCATATAGTAAATATTACATCTGAACAAAAGCGATCTCAATGTGCCTACGGCCCATCTTGCAAAGATGTTTCAACTCGATTAACTCCAGGTTCTGTGCCATCGATAATGACCCCTTGATCCATCACTTTCCTATCGCGCCCAGGATAAGAGCAAAAATAAAAGCGCATCCTGACACAAAACCAACAATGACCAGCGAACCATTCATCCAAACGAGGTAAGGATCTTGCGAAACAGGTGCAAGCGCAATACAAATGGCGGCGGCGATGCCAATGGTCAACCAAAATAAGGCGGACACAACCGAACGAAGACTGAAGTTAAATGACGTTGTCAGCAATGTAGTCTTATCGAGACCCCTGAGTCCAGGGGATACCGGTAAGCTTACTTCTTTGGGGCCTGGGCGAAGGCTAGCTCCAGTCCGGTGACGATGATGAACGCTTCGGAGAACGCCACGAGTATGTAAGCGGGAGCCTGTATCCAGACGTGAATGCTTTTGGGCGGGGAGTTGTAAATGTAATGCTGCAGGACACTGGCGTAGACCATGGATATGGAGGCGAAGAGAAAGCCTACGAAGATTCGGGTGACTGGATCGAAGTCGATACGGACTTACGGAACATAGGACGCACAATTACTAAGGGTTTTTCCTAGTAGATGCAGTGTTGTTAACGGAAACCATGAAATCATCCACTCACTGTCTAAGAAAAGAATACAGATACAGAATGCGATTCATGCATATACTCAATTGAACAAATTAGATATCAGAGTCTTGTCTACTTATTTAAATGATCTTTCGCGCTATATTCAATCATTTGATAATTGTGTATAACGTTGGGTGAACATGCGGACCAAAGCTATGTTCAGAAACAAGAGTCGTCTTGAATTAGCCATTGATCTTTCACACTAAGGGAGAAAGCGTAAAGACAAGCGAGCAAAGAGGATGGGAATTGGCCACTATTTCCTTAAAATGGTGTCTTTGGTCACGAAGCCATAGCCCGCACTAAGCCGCTGAGTCAGCGGATAGCATACTTTGCCGAGCAACTTCGACTTATTCAGCATCACAACGTTTGTGGATTGTCGGCAGCAAATACGAGAGCTGGGGCGGGTTGAACGGCGGACTAGGGGCGGACGATGCCGTCAAGGGCCGCGAATGCGTCCGATTAGCGTGCAAGATTGAGTGTAAAATCGAACTTAGCTTTTATCTGGAGACGAGGTAATTCTCGCCGATGCGACATTCCCAATAGCCCAATTGAGGGAGTTTAAATATTCGTTTATTGGGCCATGTCCTTGAATACTTAAGATCTACAAGTTCGATTGTTCCCAATACTTTCTGTTCGTCACGGATCGGTCGACGCTATTCTTTCTCTACCTAGTCTCAAAATGCGTGTTGCATCTACTTTTGTGCGCCCGATCATATCGGCGACGAGACTCACAATCAAGTCCCGTTACTCTTCTTTTCCCATATCCCCCACGTCTTCTGGAAAGCATCATGTACAAACCACTTTCAACTATTTCAAACCGCTTTCCAAGGGACAAAAACCACCGACTATCTATCCCTTCAGACCTGAGACGCATGACTATAGTCGTTGGACTGAGCAAGTTCCAGTGACGGTTCATGACATTACTGGCGATGAACACAAATACTCTCTCGACAACCATGGTTTCAAATTCCATCTTCATAAAACCAAGGTCGCCAACTTCGACGATCCCGTAGTCGTGGAGCAGGAATACTTCCCGGAAATGAAACAGATGCTGAAGGATGTGTAAGTGGCTAACGTTCCTTTTTCACCAAATGCTGGCTAATAGATTACTCAGAACTGGCGCGAAACAAGTTTTTCTCTTCAATCCCATCCACCGGAAGCCATCATCAGAGCGCGGAAAAGCCGCACAAGGTCCGGTCCAGCTGGTTCATAGTGACCTGACACCCGAGGATGCCGTCGCTGGCGCACGTCATGACCTAGGTCCTCAGGCAGAAGATTTATTGAAAGGCCGCTTTCAAGTAATTCACGCTTGGAGACCACTGAAACCTGTCTACAAGGACCCTTTTGCAGTCGCCGATGCTCGTTCCGTGGCAGACGAGGACCTTGTTCACACAGAGGTCGTCTTTCCTTCTCGCAAGGGCTCTACCTTCAACGTCACTGCCAGTCCGAACCACCGTTTCTATTTTAGATACGGCCAGACGCCTGATATTGTCACGTTGTTCAAGAGTTACGATTCTGAGATCGGCGTTGCCAGACGGAACCCGCACTCAGCGTTTGTTGACCCAACGACGGTAGACTGCTCAGACAGAGAAAGTTTCGAGATCAGGGCGTACCTTTTCCACGAATCACAATAGCTACATTTGACATGATAGTAGAAACTACTGGACCCGAACTGAAGAGCATTTCATGGCGAAAGATCAAGGTCTACACTAAATTATTAGTATCACTCAAGATTATGAGACTTTCCCACCGCGTACTGAACAGCTCTACTTTTCCCAAGCCCCCCAAAACCTATAATTTGCCTATCACTATGCCGCATTCAAAGAGGTTCTTATTATCATATTTACTGCCGTGGCAGGAGCCCCATAGCCCTTACCACAGAGCTCCGGGAGGTTTTGTAGTATAGAGGGTCGTAAGCCGAGTCTACCTACCCCATAACTCTATTATATTACATCAGGGGTGCCACACTCAAATTATCTGAGCCGGACGCCTATTATTCAGCAGATATTTGCCTCGACCTGACATGCCGGACTACCGGCTGAGACTCCACGAGCTTCTTCGCGTGGTATGCGGATCTTGGTCTGCATTGGTAAAGACGCGTCGTCTAGTTTTATCGTGTCATTCTTATTGCATCAGCCGCTTAACATAAATTAATAGCTCCAAGACCGGCCAAGTCGTCTGACTTGTGATTTACATGGTTGTGGTCAACTTGTGGTAAGAAATTTGTGTTTCAATCTTGGCTTTTTCAGCACATCCATAGCTTCAGAGATTGTATCTCGTCACTCCAGCTTTAAGAATAGCCTATCATCTAAGAGAAAAGTATAAAAATCGAAAGAAACAGCTATCAAATGGCCGTCCCGTAACAGTAAAGAGTGATTGACCACACGGCGTCACTTAGTGCACTTAGTGGGTCCAGATATCGGTCTCGGGCCGGATTGGCGTGCCGAACCTACAAACCAGCCGGCCGGCGCACAATTTATTTTGTCCATTCCGGAGCTATTGCTCGATGACACTTGCAACGGGGTAAAATTCGTCCGCGGATGGGTCTCCGAGCAATCAAATCATCGCATTAATAAATCATGCACCGTGTCATGGGCCCGTTGCGCGGGGCGTTATTCAGCATGACGGACTTCCATTAGCGACATCACTCCGTGAAGCGAATTCCTCCTTTCCGTCTGCGCTATATATGTTCGTCAATTTTGTCTTCTCGAACCAGATAGTCCATAGAGACGAAAAGTAACAAATAGCTTTTCGTCATGTTCACGGATCTCATTACTTCCAGCAAGTTGGGTATTCTAGCCGCCCTTCCAATCCTCTACTGGATCGGCTGGGTTATTTACGCACGCACTCTACACCCATTGAGCAACATTCCCGGTCCATTCTTGGCGACGGTCTCTCGACTATGGTACATACGGAAAATTTGGTCAGAGGATGTGGAAAAGGATGAGAGGGCCCTACACGAGAAATTCGGTCCTTTGATTCGCATTGCGCCGGATGAAGTGTCATGCTCCGAGTACGCTTCCAGCTTTTACAAAACCCACTGATTGAGAGCACGGCAACTAATCGGAATACAGTCCTGACGCATTTGCAGATATTTATCGCTTTTCCAACGCTTTGGATAAGGCCGAGTTCTACAGACCCTATAACACCACCGGGTTCAGCCCCCACGGAGACGTGTTCTCATGCAAGAACGACAAGAAGCATGGCCAGAGACGCAAGATTACCAGTAGTGTCTACTCAATGAGCAATGTAGCCAAGTCGGAACAGTATATTGATGCTTGTGGCGATCTTTTGACCGAGCGGTTGGCAAAATTTGCGGACACAGGCAAGCCCTGTGACATCGGGGAGTGGCTGCATTGGTGAGTTTGCAATTTGCCCTGTCCCCATAATCCACGTGTCGAATATAGGCTTAACAACTTTAGGTACACTTTCGACATCATCGGTGAGCTCTTTTATGGCAGGGCATTCGGCTTCCTTGATGAAGGCAAGGATCAGAATGATTGGATCAAATCTCTCGATAAGATGATTCCCTTTGTCTGTCTCATGGGCGTTGCGCCGCCAGCTCTCCGACCTTTCATCGGCATCGGAACCATGCTCACGTCCGCCGGAAAGGAAATTGCGAAGGGAGTGTACGAGATCTCTTCTCGCCCGTCACACGACTGTGGGAGACTGACACTTGGCGGAACAGGAAGAACATTGGCGAATCCTCCGCGCGGCTTATGAAGGACGCGTACGAGTCACGCCTCGAGGCCCCAAGGACCGATATGGCCCAGCAGGTATTCGCCATCTACGAAAAGAATGGCGAAAAGTACGACTACCGATGGGGCGACGTCGAGCAGGAATCGTACGGCGCGCTTTTTGCCGGCAGTGATACCACCGCGATCGCCTTTCGATCCCTTTTCTACCACCTCATGCACAACCCTGACATCTATCGCCGCCTCGAGGCTGAAATCGACCAGGCCGTCAGCGAGAGTCGGCTGAGTATGCCTCCTGTATACAAAGATGCATCCCAGCTTCCTTACCTGTGCGCGTGCATCAAAGAGGCCTTGCGCATCCACCCCGGAGCACAGCTCTGTAAGTTGAGCTCTCTCTAGACTGCTATCTTAAAAGTGATAGTGTGAAATCTAACTATTATCTCAGCTCTACCACGTACTGTGCCTCCACAAGGAATGACAATCAGCGGACAGTTCATTCCTGGCGGCTACACTGTTGGCATAAATGCCGCTGTGCTGCACTTCGACAAGAAAGTGTTTGGTCAGGACGCGGAGAGCTTCAACCCCGATCGATGGTTGGACACTTCCCGTGCCAACTACATGGACAAGTATATGATGGCCTTTGGTGGTGGCACCCGCACTTGCCTGGGCAAGAACATTGCTCTCATCGAATTACACAAGCTCACTCCTCACCTTGTGTGGAACTATAGGTTCGAGTTCTACGACCAGAACAAGACCACTTGGCATACAAGGAACACCTTCTTTGCACGACAGGAGGGGGTAGTCGCTCGCATTGTAAAAAGAAGGAATTAGGTAGGGCTGGGATACCGTGAAAGCGCGATCGATTATCTAGGTGTGGAATTGGGGTGTCTCATTGCCTGTCATGCCAGTTTGCTGAGTATATAAACATAGATCTATTAGCTTAGTTACCACCAACCAGAGTTTCAAGTCAATTGAGAATCTAAAAAAAAACTTTGACGTCTTTTCTGAATACAGAACGAACAGAACTAATGGCTTTCGGAGTTCCTTTAGACATACAACAACTAAAGTGCACCCAAGAGAGGATCCCGCCTTGGAGGTTCCGAGTCACCATTCAAACTCTTGGACCAGGCAACTAAGCACACTGATAGTAGTATGGCGCCGAGACGCCCTGGCAAGTTGAACCTGACTGTAGGGAGTAGATAGTCGTTAGCTTAAAGGCCGGGAAATGGGACTCGAACACGAGAAGGTGGTAACTTACGGCACAGGTGGTGCATCCCGTCCAACCCTGACCACCACACTGCGCATACTTCTGAACAGTACACGACGGCGGGTTTCCAGTGCCAGGAGACGTACCTCCTCCACCGACAGGTGAGACAGGAAGCGCCGTGCCGACAGGTCCTTTGGCAGCATCGCACGTAGATGCGCAACCACTACATCCAGAACCTGCCGTCTTCGTAGTCCCGATCGAAGCGACAGCAGGACCGGGGACCGTATATCCAGACAGCTTTGCATGGATGTTGACAGCAATTCCGGGATCGCTCGCCTTGTACGCACCGGGGAAGCTGACTGTCGCGGGCTTCGCCGTCCCCGTACCGCCCGAGACCGAAAGCTGGAAGCACGTCATATAGAGCTGCGCTCCGCCTGAAGGCCCGGCAGCATGGAGAGCAATGACTTCCGCCCGGAGAAGGTAGTCTCCGTCGGCGATATCTTTGCTGATGGGGATATCCATCTTGCCGCAGCAGGTGTTGAGATCTTTGGTGCCCCAATTATCGTCATCGCCGGAGCCGGAGCCGGATTTGGCGGACCAGCCGTCTTGGAAGATCTTGAACCAGCCAGCAGAACCGTCGGCTGTGGCGGCGTTGTCGACTTTGCTGAGGTAGACTATGACCGGCCCGTAGTGCGCGCCGCCGATGGCTTCATTCTTGCAGCTTCTGTCGCCGTTTTGCTGTTTGGGTCCTGTGTCAGTGACGATCTGTCTGGGCCGTAGAGGGGCACTAGCTTTACCTGATGCATCTCAATGGTGACCGTTCCACCGGCCTTGACAGGGCATTTGGCGTTTACGCCGCTTGTTCCGCCGACGTTGCATCTGACTTCGTTGCCGGCGACATTGGTAACGGGCGAGTTGCTTTGGGGCAATCTTGCACACTGCGAGCCGTGAGAGAAGGTCAGTCAAAGTATCATTTCCCTTGTTAAGGCAAGTAGAGACGTATCATATCAACTCCATCAACCCAGAGTTGTTGGAAAGTGGCATGAGCGGCACTTTTTCTGGCCGCGATTGCTACGACCACGGCGAAGGTGTTCCACTTCATGGCTACTTTGATGAATGGAAAAGACGATGACGCGGATGACTTCGAGCTCAATAAGTGTATTTCGATTGCGAAGAGATCAAATGACTATCAGGTTATGAAAAATCTTTGCAGGCAGAAACCACTTCTATACCAACCTGCCTGCTTGATAAACCCTTACTTATTTATAGAACGCATGCAGCATACAAGGCGGGAGGCGGGCGTCAGTATGTGCTATTCCCATTCCTCCAACTTTCCAACATGAAGCATTGTCATCTTCATGCAAAAGGACTCCCAAAAATGGCTTCTGGCACTCATGGAGAATAATTGATATTAGTCCGGCCCTTCCTTATATGACTCGTGCACCACGTGGGTTACTCGCCCTGGCTAGGCCGTCTCGGCATGTCCATTGAGCCAAAAGTCGATGTCTATAGCCCCATGGATCCAATACTGGCACACGAAAGTATTGGCCAGTCACAAAGCCCTGCCAGATTGGCGTAGCACTCAAGTCTTAACTAGTACATCGTTGCACTTCAGAGCCTATATAGCCGGTTGACCGGCAGAACCCGCCGGCCTGATACCTTCCGTGATCGCCGCAATGCGACGCAGGATGCGATCGGCTCTTTCGGAACCCAATCATCAGGCTGTTTGTCTCTCAAATGCTAATAAGGCTATCTCACCTGATGTAATCTTCAACTACTAGGATGCAGTCGGTTACGTTGAGGAGCACCCGAGCCAGATGTGACGACCAGAAGACTTCACATAGCATTGAAGGTGTTTGAGCGAACATGCTTTAGGTATCTGACATAACTTCGTGAACGAGCATACATGCGTCGGTATGATATTAATGTGCCATCCACCGGGAAAACAAAACAGTACTGGACTTCTGACCTCTGAGCCGTCAACGCGTGAGCGAATTGGCTAAAACAAAATGTGACTGTTCTACAATGAATACATGATTAATCACAAAAGCCAAGGAGCGCAGGCTTTCATGATGGGCGCTGTAGGTACCGCAAGATCTCCGGATCCTGGCTCGGCGGGCACTTCTTCCCATCAACCCCAATAGAAGTCAGTAAGATCGGGTCCTCCACCAAAGTATCTGGATGGACCTCTAGGCCATAAGACAACTCTACCTTGGCGCAACGCGCCGCATCGATGAGCGCAGGCACATCAATCTCATTGTCTCCAGTGCCCGCCTTTGCAGCACGAATCAGAGCCTCTCTCTGTGCAGCAGGTATACTCGACACCCTTCCCGCAAGCTTGGAGCCTGGCGGTGGGGTCGAGCTGCCCCATTCATAGTTCATCGGCCGCAACAGCGCCGCGCCCGTCTGTAGTACCCAGCTCTGCGCCGCCCCCATGTCCTCGACTTCCTCCTCAGCCTTCTTCCGCCACTTCGTTGGGAGAACCTTGGAAAGGACGTGTACCGTGCCGAGGAAGCCTCGCTTGACGGCTTGGAAGAAGCCGTAGACTAACTCGTCAGGGACTTGGCGTATCAAAGCGCCCAGGGGAATTACAAGAACACCGAACAGCATCGACCAACCCCATTGCGCACCATTAAGGGGGCGGGTGTCGAATGCCTGACCACCCTTCCATATGATGATCATTTGCCCGGCCAAGGTGGCGCATTGCACGCCGATGAACCATGGGTTTCGAAGGACGCCTTGATACCAGATATTGAGCTTGTTATCGACACGACGGCAGTTGTGCTGATTGAAGAACTGCATCCAGACGTAGATGTTGAAGATCATAGTCTGCAGTGCCTCGCGCTCCGCGGTTGTGGTGGGGTGGAAGAGTTGGTCTCCTGCGTAGTGGAGGGTGAACATGACTGCAAGCTGGTAGATTGCCTGGCCTAGGATCATCTTCCACATTGTAATATTGACAATGGGTGCTGTACGTGGCTCCGGCCTGCGTTTGAGGAAGTCTGGTGAGGGGTAATCGGTGGCCAGACCGAGCGAGGCGAAGATATCCATGATGAGGTTGATGAAGAGCAGTTGAACGACGGTGAAAATGGAGTCTCCTGCCAACTCGGAGACAACAGTCAGAGTGCCAGCAGTGATGTTAATTGTGAATTGGAACTGATAGTCTGTTAGCGTACCTTGCTTTGACTCAAGACCCAGATCTCACTTACTTGAAGGAACTTCTTCACAGCTGTATTCACCGTGCGACCCCATACCAACGCCTTCACAATCGAGGCAAAGTTATCGTCGAGCAGAATAATAGACGCAGCTTCTTTAGCAACCTCGGTTCCTTGGATGCCCATAGCAAAGCCTACATCCGCCGCCTTGAGAGCCAACGCGTCATTGGTGCCATCGCCAGTCACAGCAACCGTCTCGCCCATTTTTTTCAGATGGGATACGAGCAGGAGCTTATCTTCCGGGCTAGATCTCGCCAACACCTGGAGCCGCGGAATAACCAGATCCAGCTGGGCGGGGGTCAGCTTCCGGAACGTCGGCCCATCCATAGCCAAGCCGCCGGCTGAATAGATGCCGCACTCTGATGCGATAGCCTTTGCCGTCAGAAAGTTGTCTCCGGTGACCATTCGCACAAACACCCCGGCCTCCTGGCACTGACGCACGGAGTCGAGGACCTCGGGTCTAAGGGGATCACGAATTCCAAAAACGCCGATGAACGTCATGTCGGCAAAGTGCTTCTCGAATTTGATGGAGTCGGGGTCATCTGGGTTTTCAAATGGTGCGTCAACGTCTTTGTAGGCGATGACAATAGGTCGGAGCATCTGCTTGGCGTACTCGCGGATCGTCGATCGCAGGTCATCTCGTATCTCGATCGTGACACGCTGTACGGAGAGGCCGGTCTTCGGTTCCTTGAGGACGTTGGCACACTGGTCAAAGACGACCTCGGCCGCCCCTTTGACGAGAAGTCGGTATTTCCCACCGGGCAGCTTTGACATGACCGCCATCCACTTCCGCGACGCGTCAAAAGGGAACATGTCGACAATCTCGTTGTTTGCCCTCTCCTCGCTAAGTGGCCCCATGGCAAAGAACTCGCGGCTGAATCTGAGCAGAGCAGTCTCGGTGCTCGTCCCCACGAAGCCAGCATCGTTCGGATTATCGCTCTCGAATGACGTGGTATTCAGCGCGATGCTATTCTTCATCAGCGCTCTCACATCGCCGCTCAAGGATTCCAGCAAGGCTTTGGGGTGTTCCTGGTCCGAGGCATCATCGGTGCTCAGGTCTTTCTTCGCATCGTCCTTGCTGATTTCTCTTGGCGCGTCACCGAAACTTTCATGGAGTCCGATTCTGCCAGCGACGACCGTCATGCTGTTCTGTGTCAATGTTCCGGTCTTATCTGAGCAGATGCATGTGGCATTACCCATGATCTCACAGGAACGGATGAGGCGGACGAGGTTCTTGTCCTTGAGCATTCTGGTCGTGGCAAAAGCGAGAGCAAGGGTGACGGCGAGGGCTAGACCTTCAGGCACGGTGATCACGACGACAGTGACGGCTAGGATCAAGAGTTTGAAGAAGGTCTCGGCCTTTTCAGAGGCAGTTCCTCTCATGGTTGGGAGCCCAACGAGGAAGCGGATAA